GGAATGAGAAAAATCAATGACTAATCCAAAAACCCCTGCTCAGGAAAATAAAACACAATTATTATTTAAATTACATTACAGTAGAACATACAACTCCAGTCTCAGTGTGAGGAAAATATCTGCTGTAGTGCATGGCTAATGTTAGTGCACTGATAAAAATGATTTGGAAACAGACAATAAAGTTAAACACGGGGCTTTTCAAAACATCATCAGGCTTTATTGCTACTTTCTGATATGAATGTATAATTCTATGCACACACAAAACCACATTTTCACACAACATTTGAATGTCCCTAGTTTTTTCAGCAACATATTTCTGTCTCACTGACAAGTGATCTGGGCAAAATATGCATTTAAAAGACAAGGTCATCAGTTAAATGCTGCGAAATCTGGACTGGAAATTGAATAAACGGTTCTCTAGTTGAGCAGAGCTTTTAAAGCTGAAATCCAAAACTTTCCAGCCATTATCTTCTTAATCTCCAACAGAGAAGCAGCTGAAATCTTGCTTAAACTACAGGAAAGATGATGTAGTTAGTGGAACAAATGTTGCTGAGTGTGATGCATGACATTGTCATTAATACCTTCCAAGTACAATCAGTCTGTTTTTAGCAGATTTGGCTGTGTATTGGCACTGGAGGATCAAATGTGAGCCGACTACAGCACATGTATGGTTTGCACATTCAGCTGCCTATTGAAGATGTGCACTTAAACAAATCTGGAATGAAGCGACACTCAGGTTAGCTTTAGGTCACTGTCAGCCAGATGCATCATTTATTATGAGTCTGGCAACCAGGTGTCCCAGAATAAGGCCTGTATTGGGTCAACGCACTTTAGCTACTTTTGATCACTTGAATTGCGCTGCCTCCACACTGGATGGATTTCACTGCTTTGGCAACCACTGCAAACTCAGCCAAAGGACCTATTCATAAATTCTCACTAGGAGAGTATAAAAGTGTCCCCAGTCATCACTTTTTCTGGTTGGTTTTTGTGTTTTATGATATTCCACTTGCCAGAAACATGAACAAAGTAACAAGAAACTATTCATAAATCCATTATATGTACTAGCTTTAGCTTGTGGATGTCATGATTCTCTACATTTCCTGTTTTATGCTTTTATTTTGGTGCATTTCCACTCTCAATCGTTGTTCGAGTATACATTTCAATTTCCTTATTTTATTGTTCCTCGCTCGACCCAAAAGTCGTCCCAGTCCGCCATCTTGAAGGACATCCCAAAGCTCTCATACATCAGCTCTGAGGAGTGAGGATCAAGGAGCAAGGAGGCTGCCAGGAGCAAAAATACAACAGACCAACTTTCATGGGAGTCTTTCATTAATCAACACACATGTTTATTGCAAATTGGTGATTCGACACTTCAGATGAAGAATTGGAGGAAAGGACATCTCATGTCTGTTTATGCATGTTTCCTCAGTTCCTCTCTCCTTGTATCTCTTCCATGCATCTTCTGTGGGCAGGACTAAGACACAAGTACAGGAAATGTGGATGCAATTGAGGAAATTGAGATTTAGCCCTGGTTATCACAGACCCTGCCCTGCCTGCTTGCATGTTGTTCCCGTTTCCTGCTTCTTTTGCAGGAACCCCCGAGGTCATCCTACAACACTCCCTCATCAGCGAGTGGATCTCTGGAACTTGCATGTTGCCTGTCACTCCTGCGAAAGAGGGATCCCTCATAGTGCAGCATGTCACAGTTGGCACAGGAAGGCCTGAGCCCAGCACATTTAATTAGCCAAGCTGTCTTGGCATTGGATGGGAGGGGGACACACACACAGTGACGAGCCACCAGCATCACCAAGGGCGCGGTACTGCTGGCTGCCACACTGCACAACTAAAACTTAACAGGACGGGTGTTTATACTGAAAGTTGTTACTCAAAGTTGGTGGGCTTTTTTAGTTTAGTTTTTTGAAAATTGGTTGAGTAATGCAGCTAAAATAAGTACAAGCAGTGGTTGGATATCTTGCAGAAATACATAAGGTGTGTTCAGTCCAGATTTAATGTACCAAATGTGACAGAGATTAAGATACAAAGACCTCACTGCTCCACATGCCTCTAGTTATCATTCAAGTCCTTATGCCAGAGCGAATGAAAAAATGACTGTTGCTATGAAAAAAAGCAAAGTTAGGATAAACAGTTTGGAAGAAACCATTCTGACATCCCTCTCTGTAGCTGTCTACATGTGAGGCGCCCACCCCACCTCAGCTGTAGTGAGGAGAGCCCAGTCCAGGCAGCCAGCAACCAGCGCGTCTCTGCCTACCAATAGGCATGCTCGGCTCAGGCTCTGTGCAGTGCTCTCAGTCTCAGCAGCTGAAGCTGGGCGCAGGGGAACTGCGACGGCCGCGCCAAGCATCTTCCCAGGTATGCGTCTCTCTGTCGCTACGCCCATATTCGTTTTTGCAGTGTTATGGCATCCCCGCTGCATGCTGTTTCCCACTCTCCCGACACTGGCTTATTTCTAGGGAGGGGTTGCTGTGTCTTTTTTTGTGGCTCACGTAGCCTCCCCGATAGCGCAGGGCAGCGGGTCTTGGTAAACACTCACAGTCAGCGAAGACGCATCTGCAAAACCTCCTCGTTAACCACGCGTCAACTCGCACACACCTCAAAATGTTCGCCCTTCGACACATCAGCGCTGAGCCGCCGCTGCTGCTGTGGCGAGGCGGGGATGTGCGCACTCTGCTGCGCGGTGCTGCGTGCATTTCTCGGGGAATATTTGCAACGGGCTTATGATTCGGCCAAGCTGCTTTCGTCAAAACATAACCGCTGACTATATTTTCAACTTACGGGTAGAGGGATTGCTTTTTCTTGTAGGCGCTGGACATGCGGCACAGGGCGAAACAGGTATTGGGATCTGATCTGAAAAATCATTTCATAGCAGTCAATTTACGTAGGCTGTGCCATATACACTGCAGCAGCCTATAGAAAGGCTATAGTAGGTCATGCTGTATCTATGCATAGGCACCTATTCCTGCAACAGTGATGTATTATTGAAAGCTATGTGTTATAATACAACGGATCTATTTCGAATCTTTTTTTTTTCATGCAGTGAGTTATCATCCAGGGAACATGATGGAAGGAAGATGTTTTAAGGTAAACTGATAGACTTGCTTACCACAAAGTGCTCTTAATCATGAACGCGCTGAACTTGTGCTTTAAATGAGTTTGCATAAGCGGTTTTTATGATTAGCCTGATTTGTGGCGCTCTGTTTCCCTGTCACTAGGTAAGATGTAGGTACACTCCCTTAGCAATTAGGGCGGTGCTGCCTGCTAGTGCTGATGTGTTACAGTGGCCACTACCTGTACATGCAGTCTGCTAGGTCTGCCTGTACATTGGGTGCCTCCCTCAGTGCTTGGGTGTGTGGTGGTCAATAAAAAAATGTTTGGAAGTTTAAGTAAATTTAGAGTCAACTTCTAAGTTAAAGTTGTGTTTTTAGGAAAGTTATCAATGGCAGCTTTTCACATAAAAATGGATGTTTCCAAAAGCAGAAATGGACTCAGCTCGTAATAGCAGGAATTATCATCCAACCACTGACCTCAAGAGCAACTTTGACAACATCAGACATTATTGTTAGTTCTCACTGTACACAGAACCTGTCATATCCCCCATCATATCAATGTGTGCATGTAAACATATACTTGTGTTGTAACTATTAATGATTGTTTTGTTGTTGCTATGCAAAAAAACTGCTCATGTGCCATATTTCCACTGCAGTCATTTGAAGCTGTGACCTTGTCAAAACAGGGCCACTGTGTATCCGGTTCACTCTGGTTTTCTTTGATAAAACTCTTTGTTAAAGGAAGCTACTTTTCTATATCAGTCTGTTTTCGCTGGTCATGACTGCACAAGGATTTGACTAATTTAAGAAGCCCTCAACTTCAGGTTTTTTTTTTGTCTTTCTTTTTTTTTGCTGCATTTACCACGTTATCTACTCGCTCCACTTGAAGAGCCGGGAATAGTTGGAGGACTTATAGATCAGAAGTTGTGATTTCAGCATGTAGATTTTTTGAAATGTTATTAAGATTTGTCCAGTCAGTGAAGTTACAATGACATTCATAAACCGGCCAATCCATTTCCACTTGCTGTCCTTGAAAATCTGGTCACAGAGTCTGGATTTAAAGTGGAAATTTTTGCTGAGCCTTATACATCTGGATAGTCTTAATTATCTCCAGGCTGCAGGTTGATCTGAAGTCTTACAGGGAGTCATGCTTTAGGAAAAAAGCCCCCAGGTCAGAGGCAACTCCTAACTACAAGGTGGACAAAGTTACAAAGTGAGAAGTGTTAAGGTCACCTTAAGGTCAAGAGAAGAGGAGGGAATTTTTCCAAATCATTTAAATGAAATGATCCCTTGTATAATGGTTATATTGCAATCTGTGATGTCAAAGGAGCAATTTCTTGGCTAAAGTAAAGTTTTTCTGAAACTATTTTCCCACTGTATGTAGTCCAGTTAGTCAATACATCAATTAATCAACTGACATAAAAAATAATTTGCATCTATTTTGATGATATAATTTCATTTTAATGCCAGAATCCTACCTGCTAATGAAAACAATCATTAGTTGCAGTCCAAATCTCCTTATTGTTAAACTCTGTAAGTTTAATATCTTCTGTTGTAATATTTGGTACAATACATTCATTTTATATTGAATACAACTGGGATTATTGTATGTTTACAATCTGTAAAAAGTGATTAGCATTTTTATATACCGTATTGTCCCACCATAAGGTATTAATTATGCATTGCACTGTATAGAAAAAACACCTATTTCATAATCTCCGTTGATGGAATCCATGGTGTATGGCTATGTCAAAAAGGACATTATGTCTAATCATCTTTATTATTATTTATTATTGGTATGGTTGCTGTTCACTGTAAGTGAATAGTATAACCAGTGCATTTTGTTCATGCACAATACAACAGGACCTGATAACTGTCCTGACCATTTATGGAGATGTGAAGTTTACTGTAGCCTTTAGTCTGTTATTATATTTGGTATTAGATATTACTCTACCTGTATATCACTGGATCACATTTAAGTACATACATATACATTTTGTTAAACAACCTCCAACCCTCTTTTATGCTCTAATACGGAGCTGAACATTTCAATTTTAGTGGTGGAGTATTTTCTTCAAATAAATACATAGGTAAATACAGACAGGGCTGCATGTACACATGTGCACACATATACACAGATACACACAAACAATAGAGGAACTTATCATTAGTCTGTGTTCAAGCAGTCAACATAACATTCTTCTTGTTATTTAATTTGTTTGCATTATATTTAAACCTAAAATAATGATTGATTACTGTAAGTGATTAGTGGATCAGTGGAAAAGTAAGCTGTGATTATTTTAGGATTTGATTCATTGATTAAGTCATTTTTCAAGCACAAATGACAAACCTTCCCAACTTTCTGCTTCTCAGTTGAGGATTTGCTGCTTTGGCCTGTTGGTTAAACAATATATGCAATCTGATGGCATCTCCTTAAGCTTTAGGAAACTGTGATGTGCCTTTTTCACTATTTTCACACACATAGGCCAAACGATTTATGAATTAAGGCAACAATAGACAGATTCATCACTAATGTACATAGACATTGAGAGCCGATGTACCAGAGTCAATTCTGATTCTGATTCATCACTAATGAAAAACTTAACTATTGCACTGCTAACTCTAGTTTAACAATACAATTTTGGTAATTTTTGCCAAAAACACCACCATGTAACCATGCTTTATAGACTATTAAAGACACGGAGAGAAATGCTAAAAATTTTAAAAACATGGCTTTGTCACTTTGTTGTTGAACAGATTTAATCATGTGCATGTTTGATGCTGTGGCCTGAAAAGGTTTTGGTTGGTTTGGTTTACAAAGTTTTGGTTTGGTTTACCAAACCTTTGTGATGAAATAAATGAGGGGAAATATACCACATGATGCACCACCACAGAGATGTAAAATCATTCTTTTTGTTAAGATGAAATGATTGATGAATGCTGTATATACATTTGTACAAGTAACAATCGTGTTGCAACATGAAGTTTTTAATTGAAGATGCAAACAATGTAAGTTTTTTTGTTACTATTTACTTTGTTTTCAGTTCTTTTTACACCAAAATTTCCTATTCACTACATTTTTTAATTAACACTGCAAGTTACACATACATATGATATACATACATACATTTGATTATATGAAGCAGCGGCTAATTACATAACAATAAATGTTTCATATTTGTTCTTGATGCCATTATGACACATGAATATGTGCAACTTACGAGTATACACCTTGCATGGTGCAGCGACAAAGGGCAGTGTATATTACATTAAACCACTTATATTGAACACTGTATTTTCTCTTTGGGCATACCACTTTGTTATTAAGGTAGCAAGAAAGCAACTATATGATTCAAAGTATAATGGCAGGAATTACCTGATTATCTGATACAGACTGACACTGAAAGTCTTGTTTCTTCATTAATGTAGAATTATTTCTTTGCACTGCAGTCATATGCACAGTTTGGGTCAGCCGAGTTAAATATCCACATGCATAGATTGCTGCGGATGTTTTTTTTTTGTCCCAGACAAAGGATTGAGAGGTCATTATGTAGGCAGTGTTTTAATGGACAGGCACCACTCTCAGTTTAGCAATTCTTATGTTAGACTATGGTTTTTAATCCTTTGGAAAGATGAAAACATATATTTGGGAGGAATGAGGTGTGTGGTTACTAACACTTTTTCTGGTTTCAAGATGCAGAGAGTTGTCCAATGTTCAGACAATTCATTTTGGTTGTAAGAATAAAAAAGATGGTGTCTTAAACTCTGCAGTGTAGATCTTTAAAACTCAGTTGCACATTGCAAAGTTGCTCTTGGAGACAAAATAAAATGTCACAGTGTTATGTTTAGTAAATGTGCATGTTTAATTTAGGACACAGCAAAGCACATGCTGGAACATTAACGGAAAAGGCAACACAAACATCAGTTTTCTGGCATTAGCTAGTGTGTTGAAAAAGACATCCTTGACTTAGGCGCATGCACAAACGATCTGCTCACACGGTCCCTCTTCCCATCCCTGTCCTCTCCGTAGTGATGGCCTCTGCTGAGCAACCGTGCTCCAGCTTCCACCAGCAGTACTGCGCATAAGGCAACACACCCACCTTTGCCCTCTTGTCCAGAAGTGAGAGAGACGCCACCATGTACAGTGTGGAGGACCTTCTCATTTCTCACGGATATAAATTGCCCAAGAGCGGCCCTCATTCTGCCCCGCCTTATGACAAGCGCCCTGCTGATTTCCAGCGTGAACTTGTGGACAACAGGGCTGGCCGGAGGACACTGAATGGGTATGAGGCAGACCGGGGGGCATCTATCACAGGCATCTACGGCAGCAGGCAGGTCCTGGTGAAGGGTTCCCCTGCCACAGATAATGAGAGTGGGGAAAGGAACCAAAGGAGGAAAGAAGCCGGCATTGGTATCCTAGGTGACGCTCAGCCCTTGGGTGATTCTCTCGCCACAGATAGCGGGTGAGTGTTTTTTTTCTTTTTCTCTCTTTCTTGCGACCCCCACCCCCACCCCCTTCTCACTGGGGTCCTTCGGTAGTGCATGCAAAACTGAGTCTGCACTGCGCAGGTTTTTTTTTCTCCTCTTCTTCCCTTTCCCCTCCTTCCAGAGCTGCAGAACACTGACTGCAGCAGCACCACTGACATAGCTTATGTTAGGATATGAGGAAATATGAAAGGTGCCTTTGCACTCATTTGAGTTGTTTGCATACCTGCAGAGTGAGGTGGCTTGTGTCTCTGTGGAGCCCACCCATGCGCTGATATAGTCTCTACAGCCTCCACCAGACAGGCAGATGTAAACAGCAGCACTTTTAAGTGAGCAAACTGAGAAAGAACATGCTTCAAGAGAGCAGCGTAATCACTCCATTGTAAACACTGGCACACTGAATCACACCCAGCACGTGCTCTGTGATGTAAGCATGTTGCTGGGCAAGTGTGCACAGCGCGGCTCCCCTCAGCCATACAGAAGCATATGCTGCTGAGGATGATCCGTTGACTTTGTACAGTGATTTAGTGCAGTGCGGATATGAGGTGCAGCTCTTAAAAGGGGTTATTACAGTTTATCCATTTTTAAGTTCTTTTTTTAAGTTAGAAAGGATATTTTACAAACCTATACTGAAATATGTATTTATGACATATTTTACATGATTAGTTTTGTGTTTTTATGGAACTGCTAACAGCAAATCATGCCCTTATGTGGTTGAGTCATAACCATGAATAAAAGACCCTGAGAAAATACAATTATTGATTTACTTAATTTGAAAGATCTGATACTTACATTTGAATTTCAACAAGGATGTCAAATCCACACTCTGGTTCCATTGTAACTGACTTGAAATATGCTTGGATGTACCTGCCTGAATGCCTGGGGACATTAATGGATATCACAGTGTTTCCTCTGCTTCATTCAGCGGTGATGCTTAACTACAGCAAGAAAAGTGCCACAACTGAAAATCTGAAAATTAAATTACATTGTAATTTAACCAAATTACTCTCTTTGACACAAAGAAGTTAAGCTCAAATGTTTAGATTTAATCTGTTACAATAAAGTATGCTTTTTTCTAAGATAATTGCTTTTGATGTGCAAGATGCATTAATAGCCACATTCTGCACATAAGAGGTAAATATGGAACCATAACTAAAATTATCTTCAGGCAGCACGGCTTTATCACACAGTTGCCATTTTGTGTTTGTTTCATCAAGCATTTTTAAAATGATACAAATGCTTGTAATGTTACAGAGTCTCTCAAACAAAAAGGCATTCTTCTCTTAATTTTCTCCTGAACTGTGTTTTATTGCAACACAGTGGATCAGTCTGATCT